AAGAGGAGCTTACATCAGTTGTTGAAGAGTTCATCTTCAATATTTCATCATCCTCTCTTTGTGTTTATAGAGAAGTTTCTTCAACTCTATTTCCTAGCATTTTTACTATTGTATTTCATATCAATCTTATTGCTAGTTCTTCTTGAGTTAAGTTTTATTTATTCTCATTGTTACACACACCCACATGAGCTTATCGTATTTTCATACATAGTATATTTGGGTTGGTAAGAGTTGTAACAATTGAGTGTGAGCTTTTCATACATAGTATATTTGGGTTGGTAAGAGTTGTAACAATTGAGTGTGAGCTTTCATTGTGTTCTCATCACTATTAGAGAACAACCATTTGTTGTATTCGTGCTTAATTGTGAGATTCACTTTGTAATACACTTGTATACCGAGAGAAGGGTGTGGTGTAAGTCGGGGATTATCCCAAGAGGAGTGGCGTCGGTTGACGAACCTAGGGAGAGTAGTATCCGAGCACTTGAGGGAGACACGTCTAGGTCCAAGGGTGTAGAATATGATTGCAAGAGTGGTGATTGTAAAGTTTTCGATTAGCTAGAAAACCAAGTGTGAGGTGTAAATATTATTCGGGTAAGCGTAGAAAACCCGGTTGTGATAGTGGATTTCTTCCCGGGAGTGGGAAGCGGAGACGTAGGACGGAAGGTCCGAACTCCGTGATCATATTATGTGTTTGCATTGTTTATATTGCCCTATCACAATTGTATCTTTAGTTTAGATTGTTTACCCTTATGTTGTTTATATATTCTTGCATATATTTCACCATATTTCTCATTGCTAGGATATATCCCTTTGTTCATATTGCTTATTCTTGCTTGTAACATATTGTATATCTATCTTGCAAGAATAATTTATTAATTAGTTTTAATTAGCATAAAATCAGATTAGATTAGCATAAGACCCTAATCACCCCCCTCTCTAGGGTCTAACATCAAGATCATGTTATATTTTACCCTCTCTACTGTAATATTTGTCAGACTGTTTCTCTGTTATTGTTGTTTCTGTATTGTACTAAAATTTTCTTACATGTTGAAATGCAGAAATTGCCAAACTGTTTCTTACATACTAAAAGTTTCTTACACGCTAAAAGTTTCTTACATTCTGCAAAGTACATACTAAAAGTTTCTTACATGCTGTAAATTACATACTGAAATTGCCAGACATATTTGCCAGAGTTTTTTGTACATACTAAAAGTTTCTTACATGCTGCAAATTACATGCTGAAATGTTGTAATTGTAACTGTTTCTTACATGCTAAAATGCTGAAATTGCATGACCATTAAGAGAGGTGTTGATGTGATCTGACCTTTCTTAATTACATCCTTATGCTTGTGTTTGGCTGATGTTAGCTAGGTTGTGGTCTTGGTTATATTTTCCAGATTATTTCTTACATACTAAAAGTTTCTTACATGCTGTAAATTACATGCTAAAATGCTGAAATTTCTTACATGTTGAAATGCTGAAATTGCATGACCATTAAGAGAGGTGTTGATGTGATCTAACCTTTCTTAATGAGTTCCTTATGATTGTGTCTGGCTGACGTTAGCTAGGTTGTGGTCTTGGTTATATATGCCTAGTACAAACTTTTTTAAGCATGTCAATATTTTTTTAGTCCTAAATATTGATTTATTTGCAGCTTTTCATTATCATGTGCTTCTGAGTATATATGGGAAATGCTTGTTTCTTATGTGTTTATTGAAACTTGCAAGGCATTCCTCTCTTTTTCCCTGCATTATGCATTTATCCATGCAGTTGAAGATATGTGCCTTTTCAGATTATCCATTTTTCCTATCTGCTCCACCCGATAGCTTTTGTGCTTGCTAAGACCCTTGTCTGTTTTCATCTTTAGCTTGTTGTTTCAACTAATATATTTGCTAGTTTGATATGTTTGAACAAACTTCCTACTTGAGATGGATTAAAAAAATGTGTATTGCTAATGATAGCATTTGTCCTTTATGACAGATGATAAAGAATCTGAAAGCCATCTAGTTTTGGTTTAGCTTTATTTGGTATCTTTAGCTATAAATGTGGTATAAAAATATGATATATATACACAAGTAAGAAGGTACTCTATTCTGTTTGTTACAAATGTGTATGATATGAGACTGTACTGTACTTTCTCAGTTTTGGTAAATCAAATTCATGCTTTTATCACTTCTCTTGCCATTCTTTAAAACACATTGTCTAATTTTTTTCGTGAATTCATTTGAAGATATTGCAAACGATCTTAATGTTGATGATACTGAAGCACTTGATGACGAAGATGATCTTATAGAGGCGTTGCTTTTGAATGATGAAGATGAGGATGAATATATGTGGAAGGAGATGATTACAAGTGTCATTCATCAATCAAATGTGATGAAGCAGGTTCCTCGTCCATGTCGAACTAGGCCATTCTCTGGTCATATGCTTATAGAAGATATGTTGGTTGGACATGCTGATCGTTCATATTTTTGCTTCTGAATGAGTTCTGAGGCAATTCTTTTACTAAGAAAATATTCTCATTGAGAAGAACACTTTAAGGTCAACAAGATATTTAAGCTGCAATGAACAACTATGTATATTCTTATACAGAATTTTGCATGCACTTTCAAATCGAGTATTAGCTGAGATATTTCAACATTCAGGAGAGACTATTAGTAGGTATTATAATAATGTGCTTAATACTATATTATCTTTGAAACAAGATTATATCCAACTTCCTACGGCTGATGTAGACGTCCATTGGAGAGAATCCTAATTTCTTCCCATACTTCAAGGTAGAGCACTCAGCATATATTTTATGAAATCTTTTTAAATGTGTATGTGTGTATGTATGTGTACATTAGAACTTTATATTTCTTTTATTTTTGTAGAAAGCATTGGGAGCAATTGATGGATCTCATACTCCTGCAATTGTGAAAAAAAGAAACACAACAGGTATCGTAATCGAAAGAATTTCACATCTCAAAATATAATGGTAGCATGCTCCATTGATCATACTTTTCTTTATGTTTCTGTTGGATGGGAGGGATCAGCATCTAATATGTCAGTACTTCGTGCAACACTAGAAGATGGTAGATTTAATATTCCTGAAGGTAAATTTTTAATATTTTTCTTTTTGGTTTATTTGGAATCAATTAGTACTAAAGTCAGATAATTTTAAATATGTAGGTCGCTTTTACTTAGTGACTTGGGATATGCTAATACTTTAAAATTTATCGCCCCATATCGTGGATCACGCTATCATCTTGGAGATTTACGAATGGGACCACCAGAGCCTATCGAGATACTAAAGACAAACATAATCATAGACATGCACAACTACGTAATGCAGTAGAAAAGACATGGGGAATTTTAAAGCAAAGATTCAAAATTTTGAAAGTTCATGCTCCATTTCCTTATGAAACTCAAGTCAAAATCGTTGTAGCTTGTTGTGTTCTTCATAATTTTATTGCAAGGCATTAGAGAAATGATAAATACTTTAATATTCTCAATGGATTAGAGATGAATGAGGATTAAGATGAGGAAGAAGAAGAAGACCCCCAATACATGGTTGATACAGATAAAAGTTTAAGGGGTGAGCAGCTTCGCAACAGGGTTGCTTTACAGCTTTGGAATAATTGATATATAAAGTTGTCGAATATTAAAGTATAAGGAGGTTGAATTATGTCTTTTATTATCTTTATATGAGCAAAAATTATAATTTTATATAAAGCTATTGAGTAGATTATTTTTTTCCTTGAATAATCTAATCTTTTTTGCTAGGTTTATGATAGATAAGAAGCCATATAATATTTTGTTAGCTAATTATCTCTCTTTAGCTTTTGAAATGACGCGAAAATGATAATTTATTTTTATTTACCTTCTGAACAATCAGTTATTAAATAATACTAAATTGTAATACTTTTATAATCAGCTTTACATAAATTCAAGCTCCTTTTATTTTAATGAGGTAATTATTTATAAATTTTTTAGTAAGGGCAAAAGTGGTATTTTTTAAAAAAATAATGAGATTAATCTCCTTAGCTCTTCTTCATTTGCCAAACACAAAAGACTTAACCCCTTATCTTAACTATCAAATCCAAACGGATTTAGAATATTTTTAACCCTTCACGATGAATTAACTAAGTTAACCCTTAGCCTTACCCCTTCTCTATTAACCCCTTGCCAAACACAGCCTAATTTATTATCTTGTTCATAGACTGTTTTAAGCTCACAAGGCCTAAAGTCCTGTTTGATAAAGGTCAATAAGGATAGTGGGAGAAAAGTAAAGGTCATTAAGGAGAAGAGTTAAGCCAGGGCTAGTCAGTAGATAAAAGGTCAGATTAGTTAATTCATATTTGTTATGACTAATTTTAATATTTTAGCTCTTTTAGCATTTCGAAAGATGTAAACCTAAGATTAATTTTACTCTTTTAGGTGCCATTTGGCAAGAGATTAAGTGAGAAGGGTTAAGAAGAAGGGTTAAATTAGGTAACTCCACTAGTACAAACATGGGCAGCCCCAACAGGTGGTAGGAACCGTTGGGGCTAGTTTTATCAGCACCAACGGTTTTACCCGTTGGGGCAATTCAATTTTTCCCAAAAAAAATCGGAGGGATTAATTGAGCCCACGCCCTAAAATTTATTTGCCCCCAAAAATTTCGATCTCTCTCTAATTCCCTCCCTCCCTCGCTCTCTCTCGCCAAATCCATCGCCGTCGCCCTCCTCTCATCGTCGTCGTCAGAGCTCACTCTCCGCCTCCCTCCCTTTCTTGTCGCCAAAACCAGCACCGCCCTCCCTCCTTCCCTCTCTCTCGCCAAAACAAGCGCCGCCCTCCTCTCATCGTCGTCGTCGTCGGAGCTCTCGCCGCCTCCTCCTCCCCTAAAATCCCTAATAAGAGCTCCTCCTCTGATCCGAGCTCCTCCTCCTCCTTCAGTAGTAGATTGGAGCTCCTCTTCCTCCTCCTCCTCCTCCTCCTTCGCCGCTGCTGTCTTTTGTCCTCTACATTGAAAGGTACATGTCTATTTCTTGCCTTTCTCTTTAAATAGTTAATAGAGATAGCTTCACATTTTTTACCCTATACCTGATCTCATTTTAGCTTTACATTCTTTTACCATACAGCTGAATTTATTTTCTGATTGCTATTTCCTGCCTTTTGTCCTCTACATTGAAATTTATATGATTGCTGATTGATAACTTCTTTTTTCTTTTCAAGTGGTTTGGTCTCTTGCATTTTAATCTGTACTAGATATATGAAGGGTGTTGATGAATTCAAAGTGATGACTTCAAGCTGCAGATAGATGGCATGTAGTCTATTAAGAGTTATGGTTTATTGAATGGCTAATTGAATGTTTATTAAAACAGTGTCAAAATTTGTTGAACCATTAAAGAAGCTTTAGTTGTCAAGTCTCATAATTCTTTATGAGCTTATCTAAACTGTTTGCTATTTAAGCTGCTGATGATTAATTCCTTGCTTATACCAGTTGGTATGAGAAATAAATAAAACTAATATCCCTTCAGATCACGTCTTTGTTGGCCAGGCTTAGAATCAAATCACCAACAAGGTCAAGCTTATTAAGTATTAACAGGTCAATAATACATCACCTTGAGGACCACATTTGCCATCTGTGTCGGTGTGTTGCTCAATTCAGGATATTAATCTTTTGACGTGAATTAGACCTCAACATTTTTGATGGTTTAAGTGTTCGAACTGTCCGTTTGGACAAACATATGAAGTGAGTGGTCATATCATGATTTGTCCCCAGTTTTTTTGGACAAGGTCAATGGTTTCATCTGTAAGTGAGGCATGCATCATTGCCTCTTATTGACTAATATGCACATGTAATCTACATTGAAAAAAAAATTGTAGTAGCTCATATGATCTCATGAGCCTTTTTCCCCCTTACTCAAAACTTAGGCTAGAATTGAAAGCAAACATGAAATTCTTGAGATTGGATGTGGTTGGGGAAGTCTAGCAATAGAAGTTGTTAAGCGAACTGGATGTAAATACACAGGCATCACCTTGTCTGCAGAGCAACTCAAACTTGCCAAAAGAAGAGTGAAAGATGCAGGTTTAGAGGTTTTTATCTCACTTTAACCCTTAAATCTATTTTCATCAGGAATTCGATTAATATGAAGTACCAAACCACATTATCTTTTTTTTCTTTGCTTTGTATTTTCCAATATATAAGAGAAAGTTGATCTCGTTGAGCTTGTGTTCTTCTTTGTCATAATTCATATATATAATGTATTACAAACTCTTTTCATATTCCTCATAATTCATATATATAATGTATTACAAACTCTTTTCATATTCCTCCTTTAAAGCTATTAAATTGATCATAGGAATTCACATTTAGGTCAAGTGCAATTTTAAGATTATTTATATAGCAGTTGAGGATAGATGGAGATTGGAAATATTTTACTTGGTACATCTTTTTTCAGGACAAAATTACATTCTTGCTCTGTGATTACCGCCAACTACCGAGCTTTCACAAATATGACAGAATTATATCTTGGTATGATTCCAAATATGACAGAATTATATCTTGGTATAATTGCTTTGAGGTTGGAATTATATATATAATGGTATTTTTTTAGTTGCTCAATTGAGTCAAATGCGTGAAAATCAGTGATATTATAGTTGGGAAATTGAATTAACTGTGCTTGTTCTTTGTTTAATTGGTTTTCATAATTGGTACACATTGTTCCGATGAAAAAAGCTTGCACCTTATTAGGTTGTATTTGAGGTTACTTGCTGTACTCAACTAACTTCTGCGCTATATCACCTCACATTTCTTGGTGAAGTTAATGTTCTACATTCTCATTTTCTGCTGTCTAATTGGTCCAATGTTATATGAACCCATGAAAAGTTGTATAGGTTTACTCAATGTTGATTGTCCATCCTGTGCTGGAAGAATCATACAGTGTAAGGTAATCTAAAGGTTTACTCAATGTTCTTCTCAGCTTGACGTACATATTGATTATGTATTTCTTTCTTAGGGATGATTAGAAGGCATCAGTTGCTAAAAGGGTCATTGCTGAAGTGTCTAAGTGGATGGAAAGATTTGATTGCCTCGTGGTTGGTCAAGGTCTTGGGAGGGACCCATTTCTTCTGGTTTGTTTCCTGCAATTTAAAAACATTCTCATGTTGTTTACTTATTGGTTTTATCATTTTTCTAAATAAAACTATAATTCTAAGATACTTTTCAGATGTGGCATGAACTGGCTATCCTTGTCATTTAACACTTCATGTCTGTATTCCTAGTGTACTCTCTTTTATCATCAAGTTGCAGAATACTTTGATGGCTAATGCTGGTTAAGGAGCTTGTTTGTATACTTTGATGGCTTGCGTGTAGGTGAGACTCATTTTCTTGTATGCTTTGATGACTATTGCTGGTTATAGGAGCTTGTTTGTATACTTGCAGGTGCCTAATGCTGGTTATAGGAGCATTTTTGTGGACTTGAGGAGAAACGTGTAGAGGAAAAGCTTTCAATTTTGGAAGAGTAAATGCAATTTATCCTATCTTTCTTTTGTAACTCTATTTAGGATAATTAGATGATACAGCATTATGGTGTTTACGTGTATTGTTTCATTATCAGAATACACATACACAATGCAAGTGACTGCTCCAGGAAATGTTTATAGCTATGGAGTTGTACTGTTAGAGCTCTTAAGTAGCAGATTACCTGTTGATGAGCAATTTGGTGAAGGGATTGATCTAGTGAAGTGGGTACATAGTGCATCAAAGAGAGGCGAAACTCCTGAGCAGATAATGGACACAAGGCTGAGCACTGTCTCATTTTCTTGGAGGAAGCAAATGCTAGCGGTATTGAAGATTGCCATGCTCTTGTCAAATGCAAAGATGTTTATCTGTAATTTTGTATAATCAAATAGTTGTGTCTCCCCTTTCATCAATAGAGCATGTCTCAGTTGGATGTTATGTGTCCGTTAGATATGGAAATAGTTTTGAATGTATGTAACTGAACGTATTATGTTATTGCTAAACATATCTTTTTGTTGAGAAAAAAATACAGTGACAGTTTGACTGTTTGAGATTGCCTGAACTCTTTATGGATGTGAACAGATATAATATATATATTTTTGTGGGAAATGAATTTTATGTAAACATGGCAGGCAAGAGGTATTAATGAAACTAAAAAAAATGAAAAAGACTAGCACCAACGGTTACAACTGTTGGTGCAAGTATCAGCACCAACGGTTACAACCGTTGGTGCTGATACTTGCACCAACGGTTGTAACCGTTGGTGCTGATACTTGCACCAACGGTTACAACCGTTGGTGCAGATTTTCACCCGTTGGGGCTGATTCAGCCCCAACGCTAGTTGCCGTAACGGGTGGATTTTCTGCCCCAACGGTCGTAACCGTTGGGGATACTACTTGCCCCAACGGTTACAACCGTTGGGGCAGAGCTTCTTTGTACTAGTGCTCGAAATGGAGAGTTTAAGATAATTAAAATTCATTTGGATTAGATAGTTAAAATGAAGGGTTAACTTTTATGTGTTTGACAAATAAAGAAGGGTTAAATAAGTTATTTCTTCTTTTTTTTAATTACCAAGTTTAACCTTAACAAAATAGGAAATTTTATTAATAAATGTTTCATCAAAATAATTTGTAATCATTTTTAATTATAAAATATTGTCAATTTTTCATTATGTTTAAATAAATAATAGTTGGGAAGGGAAATAAAAATTAACTAAAATGACATGTCATTAGCAAAGAACTTGTTTCTAACATAAATTACCGAAAACATTGAAGTTTCATCAATAACTTGCACTTTATAATACACCTAAATATGTAAATGCATTTCATTCACCAACAACATTTTGTACGCTATCATCTTCCTATAAGTTGCGTTAGTTAACAAAGCACAAAAACCAAGCTAAGAGATATCCTTTTCAAATTTTCCATTATTACTGTTCTCACCCCCGCATGAGGAGGCGGAGTAAATTTAGTCCTCCTCCTCGTGAGGTTTTGCTAAACCACAGAGTCACGGCTTAAATGTTGGTTAAACGTCAGTTAAGTATCACGTGAGGGTTTATTAACCCTTTAGGTGTTTTTGTTGTTTAGCCTTAATAAGGGGTTAAACCCCCTTAATCTCTCTATTAACCCTTGTCAAACGAGGCCGCTCTTTTAGCATTTTGAAAGAGGAAAGCTAATTTCTATTTCTTTTTTCTTTTATAAATAAAGGGACTATTTATTGATCCATTTAAATAGATGGATTAGTAAATACCACATTTTAAGGGATTAACTTTTCTAACATGGATGTCTAAAAGCATTATTAAAACGTTTATAATGTTTTTTTTAAGAAAATTTGTTTGTAATATTTATGTTTGATAAAGTAAGACACTTTAATTTTTAGCTTTTGATGTACGTTTAGGCACTACTAAAAAATGAGGCATCCTAGACGGAAAATTCCGTCTAGGATAGCCAGAATTCCGTCTAGGATGCGTATTCTAGACGGAATTCCGTCTAGAATACGCGTCTAGTTTATTTCCGTCTAGTATGTAGTATTCTAGACGGAAATTCCGTCTAGAATACATCCTAGACGGAATATTCTAGACGGAATTCAAAACCGTCTAGAATACATCCTAGACGGATTATTCTAGACGAAAATTCCGTCTAGAATAATTCATCCTAGACGGAAAAAAATTCCGTCTAGAATAAGTATTCTAGACGGAAATTTCCGTCTAGAAATCTCATTCTAGACGGAATTTGATTTTTTTAATTTTTTTAATTTTTAAAAAATATTCTAGACGGAATTTTAGCATCCTAGACGGAAATTCCGTCTAGGATACTTGCTACAGTAGTTTTTTTTTTTTTTTTTTTTTTTTTTGCAAAGAAATCTACTTTGAGTGTATGTACACAATATTAAACAAGAAAAAATTATATTCATATCGAACAAAATAATAATATATTCAATATCAAATCCAATTATATTCAATAATACATTCACCAAAATATAGAGATACATAAATTATTTACAAACGTTTACAAATAATTATCTTACAATGGCTATGACACTGTAGGAAAGAATGTAATTCATCCGATACTAATTAATAATCATTTTGAGTTCCTTTCTGTTTACCATATTTGCTTTTTGTTCTTCCAGTATTGCTGGACACCATCCAACTCCTTCCAGAATGCCTCATAATATAAATGTACAATGTGAGGAAATGAGGCAACTGAAGGATGATTGCGACCTAATTTGCATTGTTGGAGACATGAAGCAGCAGAATGTTATCTTGTCTTTTCCTTATATCTCAAAACTATGAATTGGTAGAGTTAGAACAAGATATAAAGCAGCACTTTATGCTTAAAGAGTATAAATTCTCAACAATAAAGAGTTAAAAAATCAGGATATGATAGCATTATATATCATTATACCGAGCATCTGCTTGGTGTAAAAAATTCTTATGTATCTTTACAGTAATTGGATGGTAAAAATAGGTGGAGAAAGTAATGAACAGATTCATAAACTTCTTTCACCATTATTGTTCCATCAGATTGTGTTTCCCTTTATACGTAACTCTTTTCCAGCCAAACATGTTCTTGTGGAGGCATATGTTTTATGACCAAAACAAAGAAAAAAGCTTTGTTTCTGCAAAAATGGGGAATGATCCCCCCCCCCCCTTGTATTCTGACACCAGGTGAAGGTGAGATGTAAACCTTCTTCTGGAACTTGATAAATAAAAAATGAAGCTAGAAAGGCCACAGCATTCAAGTCTACAGAAAACATATAGAACATGTACCCCAATAACATCACGTCTCGTGGCATAATGTACATTAGTGTAAAATGAATGTTCTTGTGAATTATGGGCCAAAGCTCAAACTGTTTCTAAAACCAGAAATAAGAAACAAAGATTTAGAGAGAATATTCTTCAGTATTATCTGATGAATCTCTCTATCTGCTTCAGCTGGGAGGTGTTTCTTTGGTTAGATTTCTTTTAGTATATTTCCGGTACGCCTACAAGTCTAAGAAAGACATCACCTTTCAAACATCATCTTTCAGAGATGGATTTTCCATGCTTTATATATAACCTGGTAAGTTCTATGGAATCTCTCTGTACGGTAAAATACATCGCAAGTGATCTTGAAGGCTCTAATACAGCACAGGCTAGCATTGGGATACATAACTGCCATTTAATTTATTACTGCTTTACCAATTGATTTCCGTGAAGGAATATACAAATCATGTATACATAACAGCCACTTAATTTATTACTGCATTACCTATTGATTTCTGTGAAGGGATAATCATGTATAAGACAATTTGTTGGTTAACAGTCAAAACAATTTGTGGGCAGTTAAAGACAGAAAACATATTAAAAACAGCTTTTTTTATCACGTGTATTGTTCAAACTAAAGAAGAGAATTTGGCGTCCACACATGTATTCATTAAATGGCATAGATCGAACCAGCAACTTGGTGGAATAGAAGATCTAATATCATTACTAGTCAGGCTAGTAAAATTTAAACTAGAAAAGACCAACATACTTTAAAAATATATGATAAACATGCCATAGGAACTAAAAAAAACATACCAGTTCTTGTCTAAGTTTCTGATTTTGCTGAAGAGCAGAAGTTTTATCCTCTGTCAACTTGGAAATCAAGGCTGATGCCTGCAATTTATAAAATACAATTGGATGTAAGCCACTGGAAAGCCAACAGATATTGTGACAGAACATAATAGAAATAATACATCAAGTAAATCCAAGATAATCATCATCAAGCATAATCTTAAGTCACCTACTAAATTGTGTCAGCGAACATCATAGTAAAAATGAGACTCTAGAAAATGTCATAAATAAGTGATTTTTATCACCAGTTGTTTGATGACTCCAGTCTCTGTGAGAGGTGCAAGTTGCAATTTAGAAGGCAAACTTGGTGGATAAGGAAAAACGTGTTCCTTACAAACTGTTAACAGAGGAACATCTACGCTAACAAAGCCAATAATCAAGTCAGTAGAAAAAATAATTACTTGAAATTACCATAATTATGCTACTAATTAAGTACCACAAAAAAAACCAAAATTTACCAGGCTTAAAGAAAGGGGGATCGACTTGCAGGCGAAGCGATCGCCGGTCGTCTTGTCGGCGATGAGGTAGGTGACGCCGAACTGGCCGCGGCCGAGCTCGCGGAGGAAGTCGTAGTGGCGGCGGACGTCACCAGCGGCGTTAAGAGGGCGGTTGAGGACGCGGCCATGGGTGCGGTGGGGGCGAGAGGGCAATTGGGGTTTGGGGTTAGGGTTAGGGTTTTGGAGTTGGGATCCTGTGGCCATGGGGGACTCAGAGTTGGCCATGGGGTGAGGTTGAGGAGGGAGAGGGAGAGGAGGGGGAGGCGGTGGAGGGAGGAGTAGGAGCTTGGAGTTGAAGATTTGGGGGGATGAGGCGCTGTGGTCCTGAAAATTTAGATTTTTGGGATGAAAATTCCAATTTTGGGGGGAAAGGAGAGCGGCTGGGGTTTTGGCGGATTTTTTTTGAAATGGTCAGTTATCCTAGACGGAATTTTCCGTGATGTATTCTAGACGGAAATTTCCGTCTAAAATATCTGGTTATTTTAAAAAAAAATAAAAAATAAAAAAACCGTCTAGGATACTATTCTAGACGGAATTTTCCGTCTAGAATGTTTTATTCTAGACGGAATATTCTAGACGGAAAATTTCCGTCTAGTTTAATACATTCTAGACGGAAAAAATTCCGTCTAGAATATTCCGTCTAGAATACACGATTTTCTACTAGTGAGGGGAGGTTAAATTTTCTTTAAATCTTAGTTGACCTATTGACAAACAATATTAAAGCACTACCAGGGATGCGGATCGACGTGAGGCAGTCCTAAGTTCAAGTTTAGACTATGATTTTTTAGGAATTTCACTCTACACACAATTGATTGTTATGAATTTCAAGTGCTCGGATTAGGATTAAATGTCTTGATTAAAATTATATACACTATAAAAAATTGTAAATTATTATACATTTTTTGTTTTTACATGACATATTTTTGTGTCCCACAAATTGAACGCGACACTTCTTAAAAGCACGGATAGAACATGTGTAAAGAGTGTCTTTCTACACATATGAGAATGTATCATAATACTCACGATGTATATATGTTGATAATGGTGACACGTATATGCATCACAAATATATCACAAAGCACACAAAGTTGTGTGTAACCATAAAAATATAAAGAGTATCACCACTCAACACTATAACTTTTCAGAAGGTCACCCATCCTAAGATTACTCTCACCTAAAGACACCTAACTATGAAGTTTTTTTTATCTTATACACTATCATAAATATTTAATTATCATCATAATTAAGATCTAATGACACAAATGATATGTGTCATGATTTGCCACATTTTTTATTTATCTCGCTATTGTTTAATCCTTTATTAATAAAATGACACTTTCATATGTGTCATCAAATAAGTATGTACACATACAACTTTCATTGTAGTGACATCTACGTCCTAAGGATAGATTAAAGAAAATTACCATTTCCTGTCGTCAATTCCTACACATATTGATGTATAAGTAAAAATTTTTAAATATTTTATTTATTTATTTTTTATTTTTTGTACATGCTCGACATAATATGGATTAGTTGCACTCTAATACCCTAATGTTCCATTGACATTAAATTTAATACCCTTAATTTAAATTTTTCCAAGAATACCCCAAGTACTAGAGATGTATCTTTTTTTTCTTTCTTTCTTTCTTTTATTTATTTATTTATTTTTTGCCACTTTTTCATTGTAGATCCCCAGATCTGAAATTATTATTAATAACATAGAAAGAATAGCCTCGTAAAAAAGAATTATAATATTAAAGATATAGCTTACCGTAATAACATTATTGAGATCTTCAAAGGGAGAGAGTATTTTCCTTTCCTTTTCATTCATTCTTTCTTTCTAGCCAAACCCTCTAGCCCTTGGCCTAAACCCAGCCATCCTTTTCTCCACCAACCCGTAGCCAGTGAGTCGCCGTCGATTAACATGATGGAAAGCTAAATCCAGCGTGCCAAAAACTACCAAAGCCCATTGAAAAAAAAGAAGCGGCTTTTGTTAGATTTAAATCTATTTGTGGGCACATATGTTACATCAGTGTGTGTGGCTCTCTTTGTAGTTGACCCACATAAAGTGATCAATCAGGTAATTGGATCAATAAGTATTTATATATGTCATGGGCTAATTGTGCAGATACCAGATTACAATTCTAATTTAATAATGGGCTAAATTAGAAAACTACAAGTCTATATAAAGGGGTTATGGTCCCTAATCTTAGGGTTGAGTTCTCATTCTCTTATCCTCATCTAAAGAGAATTCTCAAGAGAGAACCCTCAAGATTAGAAGATCCAAAACCCAAGTTTCAGATCAGTGCAGATCGTCACGGAGTAAGGTATGCTTCCGCTCTCATGTTAATCTCTTTGAATTAATCAAGATAATAAATTCCAACAAGTGGTATCAGAGCCACTGTGATTAGTTCTTAGGGATTTAAGATCAAAATTTGGGATTTTTTTTATCTCAATCTGTGTTTTTTTTTGAGATTTTTTGCACGCATGAACAGTAAAGTTCACATTTTTGGGATGTTTCTCTCTTTCGGTTGTTGAATCTATATCAAAATCATGGATTCAGATTGGGTTGTTTCTCTCTTTTGGTTGTTGAATCTAGATCAAAATCATTGATCCTGATTATGAGAAAAAAAAAATCAGTTTTTTGAATCTAGAATCTTTTCAAAGACCAGATCAAGTTCTTCTTCATTTGGATTTTTGGCCATCGATCACTTAGCTCCTCGTCGGCGATGATCGCTGGCGGCCCAGCTGTTAAAGGAAGACAGCGACGGTAGCATCAGGAAGTCCTAGGGTTTCGAAACCCTAGGGTGCGGGAGAATAAGCAACGGCGGCGGCAGTTCACTTTCGAAACCCTAAGGGGTGGAAAAAGATCGTGCATGAAAACATGCAAAAATTAGGGATGTGACAGTTTCCTCATTCAGGCGAGCTTGTCGGCAATATTTGCAGGAGAGCTCGAGTCCTTGACTGCACGTGAGCTTCGTCAGCTACGTCAGCAGGCGAGACTCGTCAACAAAGGGCTCAGGTGAGGAAACTCATTCAGATGAGCTCGTGCTTCATGCGTGCTCGAGCCCTAATTTCAGGCGAGCTCTCATGCTCGAATCAGGCGAGCTCGAAGATCCCTAGTTCAGGCAAGCTTACGGGTTCGATTTAGGCAAGCTCGAGCTTCTATTTATAGGCAAGCTCGACGCCTCTATTCAGGCGAGTTCGAAGCTCTCTCAGGCAAGCTTTTGAGTCTCGAACTTCAGGCGAGCTTTCGCTCAAACTTCAGGCGAGCTTTCACTCGAACTTCATGCGAGCTTCTTGCTCCTTTCAGGCAAATTTTGAAGCTCTCTCAGGTGAGCTTAGGCTTGTTTCAGGCGAGCCCTAAATTCGAAATCAGGTGAGTCCTTAAAAATAGAAGGATCAAACTCAGGCGAGCCTTCGATCTTGTTTCAGGTGAGATTTAAGAAGCGAGCTTGAGCTTCGTAGTTAACTAAATTGGGAATTTTCAGGTGAACATCAATTTTTTTAAGAACTTGATAGTTATGTCGGGGTTTTTAATGGCTACAGGTGAGTTTTCTTTAAGAAAACTCATAGGCCAAAGCCCAATAAGACATTTTTTTGTGTGGGCCACTAATTTATTTTATTTTATAATTTAGTTAATTAAGGCCAAGCCCTCTTATGATATTTTGGTATTGGCCTGTCATTTAATTGTTCTTGTGAAACAAATTAAGTTGTAGGGCTTATAACTCACGGGCCTTATTAACTTATGAGGTTTTTTCATTTTCTAAGAAAATTTAATTCAAACTAAATTTGGTTATGGGCCTCCTAAGTTATTTGGCTATGGCTTGTAATTATTTGATTTCTGGCCGAGGCCCAATTAAAATTTTATTTGGGCTATGTGAAAACAGGCCGAAGCCCACTTAGCTTTATTTTAAGTTGGGTTAGAATCAAATTAAGTTTTGGGCCTACTGAGGATTATTTGAATGTTCAATTAATCTTATTCAGATTATGGGCCCGTAACAATTAAGCTAAGGATTATTTGATTATTAATCAAATAGTTTTTAAGTTTTAGGGTATTAATTTTATTTAATGGGTATTTCTATGTTTAATTAAAATAGAGAAATATATTTTAATTGCTAAAGTAAACTTCAAAAATTCATTTAATATGAATTTAAATTTGGTAGTTAATCAATTATTTAATTCAAATAATATGACACTATTGTATTAAGGTTGTCTCTCATTCCAAATGATTAATTAAAATAAGATGTTGACAAAGTAACCTCTCTTATGTAGATTGTTCATGAGGGATGTTAGATGGTTGTGGGTATGTTTTCGTGTAAATATTTAATCGGTCCAAAGGAAGGTTAATATTTATTTAGACTGCATACACACCTGCGGTGATAAATGTGTGACAATTATAAGGTTTGCATGTGAATGATGAATCAATCCAAAGATAGTTTTATTATTTAACATGAGTTGTTGTCTGTGTTTGATCATTGCAACAAGGTATCACTTACAAATTAATATTACTGTCCAAAGACTTGATATTAATGTTGTGCCAGATATCTTGAGATGAGATTTGTCATTATTTGAATTTTATTGATTAATAACTATGGTTAATAATATGAGCATCTTTTGTTTATTTCGGTTATTGCATCTACTGCAACTATTTCTGCTAACATAAAATCAATTCTCATGCTCAATGGGATAAATTTCAAGGTTTGAAAAGTGAACATTTTAATTGTTCTTGACTGCATGGATCTAGACCTTGCATTAAGAACTGAACAACCCCAACCTCTCAATACGGAAAGCACTCCTGATGTAAAGGAGTATGAGAAATATGAGCGTTCAAATAGCATGAGTCTAATAATCTTTAAGAGCGGCATTCCGGAAGCCTACAGGGGCATAGAATTCGAATGGATTACTAAGGCTAACGATTTACTTACCAAAATTGAGAAACGTTTTGTGAAAAAAGATAAGGTAGAAATAAGAACGCTTTTAGCTCGCTTGATTTCGATGAAGTATAAAGGGTAAAGGAAATATCAGGGAGCACATTATGAAAATGTCACATTTTTTGCTTCAAAACTTAAGGTAGTGAAACTCGATCCTTGTTATGAGTTATTGGTGCATCTGGTTCTGTCATCTTTTCTTGCACAATTTATTCAGTTAAGGTCAGTTATAACTGTCATAAGAAGAAATGGACTCTGAATGAGCTCATTTCATACTGTGTGCATGAAGAAGACGGGTTAAAGCAAGATAAGACTGAAAGTGCTCAATTGTCTTATGCCTCTAAGGATAAGGACAAGAAAGAATGATAACGAAGCTGCTAAGGGTCCAGTTCAGAAGAAACAATATAAGGATGATCATGGTTGTTTC